AGTGACATGGCAAGCAAGAGCCTATGTCTAAGGCATAAAACAAACGCCGGTGGACGCCAGTCCCCAACAAATTCTGCGACCTAACCAGTGGAGTAGTGACATTTATCTAGGTGCCGGATAGCAAAATATATGTATGACGTCATTGTTTCTCAATCAAAGTTTGTACCGATGTAGACCATTGAATAATACAATTTAAAAATCTGCATAAATGCATACTCCAAATGCAACATTTGCCTATGCCTACACATATTGGCTCAAATCCATTTCTTTTTTTTAATACACACAAATACTGTCAATTGTGAATGATAATTCTTCACGTTTTACGGGTGAAACGTCCAAGCTGGATCTGCATGCCAACCATTTGATCTCAATCAGTTTCATGGGAATATGCATTTAGATCTTCTTGAATGATGTAAGTAACTACTGTTCGAGCAAATTTTTGAGCAGGTGGTGTTAACATGCTACAGAATACACTATATATACAAAAGTATGTTGACACCCCTTGAAATGAGTGGATTCGGCCATTTCAGCCACACCTGTTGTGGACAGGTGTATAAAATTCGAGCACACAGCCATGCAATCTCCATAGACAGACATTGGCAGTAGAATGGCCTTACTGAAAAGCTCAGTGATGTTCAACGTGGCACCGTCATAGGATGCCACATTTCCAACAAGTCAGTTTGTCAAATGTATGCCCTGCTAGAGCTGCCCCGGTCAACTGTAAGTGCTGTTATTGTGAAGTGGAAACATCTAGGAGCAACAACGGCTCAGCCGCGAAGTGATAGTCCACACAAGCTCACAGAACCAAACCGTTGACTGCTGAAGTGCGTAGCACGTAAAAAATAATCTGTCCTCGTTTGCAACACTCACTACCGAGTTCCAAACTGCCTCTGGAAGCAACATCGGCACAATAACTGTTCGTCGGGAGCTTCATGAAATGGGTTTCCATGGCCGAGCAGCCGCACACAAGCCTAAGTTCACCATGCGCAATGCCAAGCGTCGGCTGGAGTGGTGTAGAGCTTGCCGCCATTGGAAACACATCTCTGGAGTAATGAATCACGCTTCACCATCTGGCAGTCCCACGGACGGATCTGGGTTTGGCGGATGCCAGGAGAACGCTACCTGCCCCAATGCATAGTGCCAACTGTAAAGTTTGGTGGAGGAGGAATAATGGTCTGGGTTCTGTTTTTCATGGTTTGGGCTACGCCCCTTAGTTTCAGTAAAGGCTAATCTTAACGCTACAGCATACAATGGCATTCTAGACGATTCTGTGCTTCCAGCTTTGTGGCAACAGTTTGGGGAAGGCCCTTTCCTGTTTCAGCATGACAATGCCCCTGTGCACAAAGCGAGGTCCATACAGAAATGGTTTGTCAAGTTCGGTGTGGAAGAACTTGACTGGCCTGCACAGAGCCCTGACCTCAACCCCATCAAACACCTTTGGGATGAATTGGAACGCTGACTGCGAGCCAGGCCTAATCACCCAACATCAGTGCCCAACCTCACTAATGCTCTTGTGGCTGAATGGAAGTCCCAAGAGCAATGTTCCAACATCTAGTGGAAAGCCTTCCCAGAAGAGTGGAGGTTGTTATAGCACCAAAGGGGAGACCAACTCCATATTAAAGGACATGATTATGAAATGAGATACTTTTGGTCATGTAGTGTACCTGTATTTTGTTTCAATTAACACAACCATTCAGCAAAATCATCCTAAAATCTCATAAGAAATTACATGTTGTTTTCGGCCTAACACTAACGTTAAACTATGCTATTAAATTCGGTCTGTTGTGTAGAATACTAATGAATCATTAAGAGATTTTGCCCAGACATTGATTCAGCTTTGATCTAAACTTTATTAAGCATCCACAATTCTGAGTAGTGGCGGCATGAGTTGGAGACCAGATTTACACTCCTGATCATCCAGATTCCAGCATCCTCCAGCTAAGATTCTAGCTACACCAACTGTGCTGCCATCCTGTTAGAAGGTAACAGATTATTTTATTATAGTGGTTAAGAGTGACTTTCATTGCGTTCCATGGTGTTTATCGCCCCCTAGTGGAGTCTTCTGGTACTTAGACAGACTGCACAAAAACCGGGAGTAGAGTTGTCATTCTGCACGCAGACAAGCAGCTAGAAACAACGCTACAGTTCTTTCTGTGCAACTATTTCTTGTCATGCTTCAGCCTCTGAACATATTTGTTTGTAAGTTCAATTCAAGCATATTGCTAGTGATGATAATATTGTTATTGATAGAATTACTTACTTATCAATGTTAGTTGGTTACATTTACTCATGAATGGCGTCAGCTGTATTAGTTAAGTGAATTGTAAAACATACTATGCTATAGTTTGTTACTGTTTCTAGTGTAATATGCTTTGTTATTGTACAGAGGTGTTTGCACATTATTAGTGTAATGAAAGGAGTTGGCTAGTTGTTACTCATATAGTAATTATCTATCTGGTTTGTCGTCATGACAGATACATGGTACCTTGGCACTTGCTTTGTATTTATGCAACTTCAACTTGAAATGTATAATGTACAGCTACAGTATGTCAATGTGAATTGAATACTAAAGTATATTATTTAATGTATTTTGCAGTTTCACAACATAGACGTTTTCAATACATTCGGTCAAGAAAATTCACGCCTTGGAAGTTTTATTGAAGACTCAGTTGTTAGCCATCTGTCTAGTTTTGCATGGGAACGCAATTCCAGGGCAGAATACCAACGTTCACCATGGACAGAAAAGGCCTTGTCTGCTCTGTCCTCCTGTTGCTGTCCCTGCTCCAAGTCTCTTCAGCCGTCATCAGAGAACTCCAATCAATCAATGAACTGCGTACCATAGAGTTCGGCCACAGGTATCCACGTCACGGTCTCAAGCTGCTCTACTGGTTCGCTCAAACAGCTGACCATCAACGCCGGCACAGACCCCATTCCTGTTGGTTTCAACGCACGCCAGCTGCAATAGAGACGCATACAAAGCTCTCCCTCGCCCTCCATTTGGCAAGTCTGACCATAACACTATCCTCCTGATTCCTGCTTATAAGCAAAAACTAAAGCAGGAAGCACCAGTGACTCGGTTAATAAAAAAGTGGTCAAATGACGCAGATGCTAAGCTACAGGACTGTTTTGCTAGCACAGACTGGAACATGTTCCGGGATTCTTCAGATAGCATTGAGGAGTACACCACATCAGTCACTGGCTTCATCAATAAGTGCATCGATGATGTCGTCCCCACAGTGACCGTACGTACATACCCCAACCAGAAGCCATGGATTACAGGAAACATCCACACTGAGCTAAAGGGCAGAGCTGCCGCTTTCAAGGAGCAGGACTCTAACCCGGACGCTTATAAGAAATCCCGCTATGCCCTCCGACGAACCATCAAACAGGCAAAGAGTCAATACAGGGCTAAGATTGAATCGTACTACACTGGCTCTGACGCTTGTCGGATGTGGCAGGGCTTGAAAACTATTACAGACTACAAAGGGAAGCACAGCCGCGAGCTGCCCAGTGACACAATACTTCCAGACGAGCTAAACCACTTCTATGCTCGCTTTGAGGCAAGCAACACTGAAACATGCATGAGAGCACCAGCTGTTCCGGATGACTATGTGATCACGCTCTCCGTAGCCGATGTGAGTAAGACTTTTAAGCAGGTCAACATTCACAAGGCCGCAGGGCCAGACGGATTACCAGGACGTGTACTCCGAGCATGTGCTGACCAACTGGCAAGTGTCTTCACTGACATTTTCAACATGTCCCTGACTGAGTCTGTAATACCAACATGTTTCAAGCAGACCACCATAGTCCCCGTGCCCAAGGACACTTAAGATAACCTCCCTAAATGACTACCGACCCGTAGCACTGACGTCTGTAGCCATGAAGTGCTTTGAAAGGCTGGTCATGGCTCACATCAACACCATTATCCCAGAAACCCTAGACCCACTCCAATTTGCATACCGCCCCAACAGATCCACAGATGATGCAATCTCTATTGCACTCCACACTGCCCTTTCCCACCTGGACAAGAGGAACACCTACGTGAGAATGCTATTCATTGACTACAGCTCAGCATTCAACACCATAGTGCCCTCAAAGCTCATCACATTGCTAAGGATCCTGGGACTAAACACCTCCCTCTGCAACTGGATCCTGGACTTCCTGACGGGCCGCCCCCAGGTGGTAAGGGTAGGTAACAACACATCTGCCACACAGATCCTCAATACAGGGGCCCCTCAGGGGTGCGTGCACAGTCCCCTCCTGTACTCCCTGTTCACCCATGACTGCATGGCCAGGCACGACTCCAACACCATCATTAAGTTTGCCGACGACACAACAGTGGTAGGCCTGATCACCGACAACGATGAGACAGCCTATAGGGAGGAGGTCAGAGACCTTGCCGTGTGGTGCCAGGATAACAACCTCTCCCTCAACGTGACCAAGACAAAGGAGATGATCAAAGGAGCCCATCTTTTTACGCTGCTGCTACTCTGTTAATTATTTATGCATAGTCACTTTAACTCTACCCACATGTACATATTACTTCAACTACCTCAACTAGCCAGTGCCCCCGCACATTGACTCTGCACCGGTACCCCCCTGTATATATAGCCTCCCTACTGTTATTTTATTTTACTTCTGCTCTTTTTTTTTCTCAACACTTTTTTGTTGTTGTTTTTATTTTACTTTTTTTATTAAAAATAAATGTAATGTTAATATCCAAGCTTTTTTTGGAAGTGGCAGGTTATGTTGCTTGAAACCAGGGCTGAAAGCAAATTTACATCCTTGCCAGTAGGCATAGTACAGATTGCCAAAAAATATTTTTAACATGTAGTCATATTGTGATTGTTTGATTGTGCTTTTCGATTGTGATTCTTCTTCTGATGAGATGCCAAGTGTTTAATGACAGGCTTATTGTTTACTTTCTGTAGTTCACTTTGAGGTCAACTGGACATGTAGTCTATTCAAGTTTATACATGAATCCCTCCGTCCCTGCAGCCTTACTGAGGTTAACAATGGTTCTGTATCATCAGTATCAACATTAGTAACATGGCAACGCATAGTATAAAATAAATTATCCTCCTCCTTTTAACTCGCTAGTAATTGTGTAATAATCTCATGCTTTCATGAAATGAAATTACTGTAATTTGCAGCTTAACTGTACTATGTACTCATATTTACTCTTAAGAATAAAGCAGCAACAATAACAACAAAACTTGTATGACCATAAAGACTCGACTGACCTCTGCGGTGGCCAGAATGCCATCCAGCGCTGCCCTCAGCGTGGCGATGTCTGCCGTAGCCAGGCTTTCCTGCGCTTTCATCTGACCCAGCAGGGCCAGGGCCTCGGCCCCACACACCTTCACACTGTCTGACAACGCTGTGTGTGTGTGGGGGGGGACAGAGAGGAGGGTCAGAGATACAGACACAGTATGGAGACTTAGAGGAAGTGGGTGGCAGTGATGGTCCCTGATCGGTTTGTGCCGTCTTCCCAACGCCGATGGTCATTGTCACCCGGTGACAGACAGCACAAACAGATCGGGGACCAGGCTAGGCTATCGTTGCCTATCTGCGCATTATCAGTACTTCTCTAACAGATCTATATAGGGATGTAGAGGAACAAACTTTATTTAAAATCCATGGAGTATTCCAGTCCTGGATGTGTGAGTGCACATTTCAGTTGAAAAGACACAGGGACAGCTCACACTCACCGTCCGCTTGCTCCACTGGCACCATGTGAGAGGTGGCACTGCCCTGAACAATGGTATCGCCCACCAGGTGGGCAAGATGGGTCACTGCCCGCACCAGCTCCGACACACCTGGAGAACCAAGGGTCAAAGGTCAAACTGCTATAAAGTCTATATACAATCAACTGGATATGCTACTTTTATATGAAGTACTTGAAGGCTGTAATGCTGAAAAACACTGTATTTGAACAATAAATAAGCATTTTACTATCAACCTCCACTGTCCACCAAGAGTGTCTGAATAGTGAATACCTCTCACATATTCAAGTAGATTTATTTTCTCCCATAGAAATCTAGCTCTCTCATGTGGGCAAGAAACTGAAAAAGGAACCTTTCTTCAAATATATATATATTGTTGGCAATGACACAGGTCAAACGTTTTTTTGTAAGTCTTCACAAGGTTTTCACACACTGTTGCTGGTATTTTGGCCCATTCATCCATGCATATCTCCTCTAGAGCAGTGATGTTTTGGGGCTGTCGCTTGGCAACACAGACTTTCAACTCCCTCCAAAGATTTTCAATGGTGTTGAGATCTGGAGACTGGTAGGCCACTCCAGGACCTTGAAATGCTTCTTACGAAGCCACTCCTTCGTTGCCCGGGCGGTGTGTTTGGGATCATTGTCATGCTGAAAGACCCAGGCACGATTCATCTTCAATGCCCTTGCTGATGGAAGGAGGTTTTCACTCAAAATCTCACGATACATGGCCCCATTCATTCTTTCCTTTACACGGATCAGTCGTCCTGGTCCCTTTGCAGAAAAACAGCCCCAAAGCATGATGTTTCCACCCCCATGCTTCACTGTAGGTATGGTGTTCTTTGGATGCAACTCAGCATTCTTTGTCCTCCAAACACGACGAGTTGAGTTTTTACCAAAAAGTTATATTTTGGTTTCATCTGACCATATGACATTTTCCCAATCCTCTTCTGGATCATCCAAACGCACTCTAGCAAACATCAGACGGGCCTGGACATGTACTGGCTTAAGCAGGGGGACACGTCTGGCACTGCAGGATTTGAGTCCCTGGCGGCGTAGTGTGTTACTGATGGTAGGCTTTGTTACTTTGGTCCCAGCTCTCTGCAGGTCATTCACTAGGTCCCCCCGTGTGGTTCTGTTATTTTTGCTCACCGTTCTCGTGATCATTTTGACCCCACGGGGTGAGATCTTGCGTGGAGCCCCAGATCGAGGGAGATTATCAGTGGTCTTGTATGTCTTCCATTTCCTAATAATTGCTCCCACAGTTGATTTCTTCAAACCAAGCTGCTTACCTATTGCAGATTCAGTCTTCCCAGCCTGGTGCAGGTCTACAATTTTGTTTCTGGTGTCCTTTGACAGCTCTTTGGTCTTGGCCATAGTATATATATATATATATATAATATATATATATATATATATATATATATATCTAATAATATAATATACAGTACCATTCAAAAGTTTGGACACAGCCTCACATTCAAGGGTTTTTCTTTATTTTTATTATTTTCTACATTGTAGAATAATAGTGAAGACATCAAAACTATGAAATAACACATATGGAATCATGTAGCAACCAAAAAAGTGTTAAATCAAAATATATTTGAGATTCTTCAAATAGCCACCCTTTGCCTTGATGACAGATTTGCACACTCTTGACATTTGTTTAACACTTTTTTACTACATGATTCCATATGTGTTATTTCATCGTTTTGATATCTTCACTATTATTCTACAATGTAAAAAATTAAGAAAAACCCTTGAATGAGTAGGTGTGTCCAAACTTTTGACTGGTAGTGTAAATTCATGTTAACGTTGCTGAGTTAGTTACTGTCAAACTGCACAGCAACCGTCGGTGAAAGTAACGTTTTTGGCTGCCTTTTGACCTTGTCTGCTACACAAGAACAACGATGGCTTCGATAGGTGCCTGAAAGTAGATTGTGTGTGTGTGTGTGTGTGTGTGTGTGTGTGTCGTGTGTGTGTGAATGCACAAAGCTGACTAAGGGAGTAAGAGAACAGTTCTGAGTCTGACCTGTGTTGTCTGCCAGGTAGCTGTCTCTGGCAGAGTGAAGTCTGTCCATACAGTCCAGAGAGGCCTGACACCTGGACGCCAGGTAGTCTACACACAAGGAGGGTACACAGTGAGGGGAGAGGCCTCTTCCACCATACAAACACACATACACACACTATTATGAGGGGACATCATCCTACATCACACACTGGAACACAAAACACACACACATGCACAAGTAGATTGAGGCATCACACACACATCTACACATCCAGCATTGGTTTCACAATGTGGCATCATCTCAGGTGGACGGACGGACGGACAGACCGACCGGAACAAAGCTGGAGTCAGTAGTGCATAAGACAGAGGTTGGAGAGGGTTAGGGGCTGACCTGCAGAGCTGGTGCAGCTGATGTGTGCTGGGTCGTCAAGCTGGGCCAGTGAGTCCTGGACTATCCTCTCTGCCTCCTCCACAGCTCCCTGTAGGGTGGACCAGCGGGCTGCCACAAGCTGGCTCTCCAGGGCCTGCTCCCTGCTCTCCTATACACACAGGGTCAGTGAGAGAATCAGATATCACACACGCTCACTGAGAAGCTGAGACGCAGGCGCACACAAACGCACACGGCTACCTCCCCTGAAACACACCTTCTCATTGAGTTGGTTCTGTAGGGCCTCGGCAGTCTTCACTCCGCTCTCCCTCTCACTGGCCAGGCTGCTCTGAACACGCTCTAGCTCCTCCCCCAGGCCTGCAAGCTCCTCCTCTTTCTTAGACAAGGATTCTGCTAACTCCACCTTGTCCGATTCCACAGTCGAGAGCTGAGAACTGAGCTCCTCACTCGACTGAGATTGAGAGAGAGAGAGACGGAGAGAGAGAGAAGAGAGAGGAGAAAGAGTTTGACACATACACAGTATTTTAGGATCGTGTCTATCCCTGTGTTTCTCCGCTGAAATGAACGAAAAGGCTCACACACTAATACCACCTTTTAATGGTGACTACGCCCTAACTGCTATGAGATGTGGATATGACAACTGCCATTCTTCTACTCTACCTCACCTGTTTGTGGGCACCCTCCTGAGCATTTGAACAGGAACGAGAGACGGGAAGAAAGAGTTTGTAAGTGAAATGTGTGACAAAGTGACAGAGTATGCGTGTGAGGACTGGAGGGAGTGGTTGTGTGAGAGAGAATGAGAAAAGAAGGGGTTAGGGCGAGAGAGAAGTGAGTGTGTTGATTCAGAAATAGGGTTGACAGGAGTGGGAGAGAGGGATGAGAGATGGAGAGGAGGAATGGTAATTGGACCGTCATGGCCTAGTAAGACTACACACTGTCGGGATCATGCAGAGATCGAGGTCTGCACCGACGCTTCACACAACCCTCTCTCCACACACACGATTTCATGCACGCACACGCTCACACACACACACACACACACACACACACACACACACACACACACACAGACGGGTAGAAGAGTAACATGGAGTTGGGGAATGTAAAGATAGAAGACAGAGTAGAGATGATTTGAAGGTGTCAGAGGTCAGGGTGAGGTCAAGTGGGGTAGAGTGGAGAGGAGTGTACTGTTGGGTGAGTGTTTAGATTGGAGAGGAGATGAGGAGTGTATGGTTGGGTGAGTGTTTCGGTTGGAGAGGAGATGAGGAGTGTACGGTTGGGTGAGTGTTTAGGTTGTTGAGGAGATGAGGAGTGTACGGTTGGGTGAGTGTTTAGGTTGGAGAGGAGATGAGGAGTGTACGGTTGGCTACCTGTTGGGATGAGGCCATGGTGCTTTTCAGGCTGTCTAGCTCCACCCTGCTGGAGATCAGCTCTCTCTGCAGCTGCTGCAGCTGCTCCACCTGTTCCTGCTCCTGAAGGGGGAGAGAGGTGGGAGAGACAGAGGGGAGGGGGGGGGGGGGGGACAGAGAGCAATATGGGGGGAGAGAGATAGAGGGGGAGGCAAGGCGGGGCAAAATAGAGAATGAGAGAAAGATGGATAGAAACAGTCATGTTATTTGCTAGGTCTCCATCTCTCTACCTCAGTTTATTCTGGAGGGGTTTCTACCTCTCTAACACCCACATGTACAGCAAGGCATCTCAGTTACACAATGAAATGATCAGAGAGATAGAGAGAAAGTTGAAATGTACTGTAGTATGAAGAAGTGAAGTATATTACATTTGAAGTCATCTGTGTCCATGAAAGCGAGAGAGGGGGAAAAGGGGAAGGGAGAGAAAACAGAAAGAGGGTGATACAGACTGTACACACACAGTATTTCAGGAGAGTGTGTATCCCTGTGGGAGTGTGTGCCTCGCCCTCACCCGTCTCTCCGCGGCAGCTTTGACCTTCTCCTGCATCTCTCTCCTCACGCTGTCCACCTCGTCCTGAGCCGCCCGCGCCACCGTCATCTGACGAATCACCTCCGCATTCTAAAGCCAGAAACAGAAAAACACAGACGTTTTAGGGGGAAGAGCTTTTAGAATTACAAACAAGAAACGTGGAGGAAACGTGTGAGCATTGCTGCTAGAAGTGTTTTCTCTAAAGAAATGTTGTAGTACAGAATGGATAGGGGGTCCCTGTTCGCACCCTACTCCTCCCCCCTCCATTGGCCCAAACCCTCTGATGTTTGCTGATCTGTAAGGTGGAAGCAATATGGTGAAAGCTCTACCACTACACTGTTCATACTCATCCAGACCCTTCAGATCTGCAAACATGGAAGGGTTTGGGCCAAGGGAAAGGGAGCAAAATGGGACTGGCTGAGAGGGGTCGGAGTTAGCCTGCACCATGAGTCTGAGGTTCTTCCATCATAAGGGGTCTGGATGGGCCTACCTTCCTCAGCAGGTCAGCGTGACTCTGCACCAGCTCTGTGTACTTCTCCTTCAGCTTGGTGTAGCGCTGCTCGTTGGCCACCGCTTTCCCTGAGAGACACGGACAGACAGCGCTGTTACTATCAGAACTATCAGTTACAGAGGGCTGAATCCTGACTTGAGATATGCACACATAATTCAAACGTTCGTGTAGGCATTGATATCAGTTGAAGACATTTGAGTGACTCATGTAAATCTTGTGGCTTGGGATTGGTCAAGTAATTAGCACTGCCAGCTTCTACACATGATGCTTGTGTCTGCATGGGATCGAATCCCAGTCCCACCATTCTAACACACGTTTACTAACAAAACACATGTATAGATGGGTACTGGAGTGTCGGATGGTAGTGGCTAACTGCTAGAAGGCGGAGCTGTGCAGATGTGCCCGGGCTGTCTCTGGACTCACTCTCGATCTCGGTGAGGCTTCGCTGCTCTTTCGCCGTGTCCTCTTTGACACGGCGCAGGTCGTCAAGCTCCGCCCTTAGGAACTCGCTCTCTCCCAACGCCTGCATCCTCAGGTGGCTCTGCTCTGCTAGCTCCGCCTCCAGCTCATTGACACGCCCGCGCAGCGCCTGGCACAGACGCCCACTCTGAGAGAGAGAGGCAGAGCGAGAGAGAGATGGAAAGAGAGAGAGGAGGGAGAGAGTGTTATGGTTCAACAATGTGTAAACACACTGTCACGACTTCGGCCGAGGCTGCCTCCCCTCCTTGTTCGGGCAGGCTTCGGCGTTCGTCGTCACCGGCTTACTAACCACTGCCGCCCCAATCATCATCACAATTGTCTCGTCTTGTCAATCACACACACCTGGTTCTATCCCCTAATTAGTCTGTGTATAAGTGTTCCCTCTGCCCCCTTGTCCTTGTGGGTGATTGTTATTTGTGAGAGTAGTATAGCTCGGTGGAGCTACTCATATCATATTGTTGCCAGGGTAGATTTTCCCCCTGTGCCATTGTATTATTGGATTCCGTTACAGTGTATTTACCAGGGATGTTTGTTTCCCCTGTGCCTGTTTCGTTGATCGCTATTGGAGCGCATTTGTGTGTCAACGAAGGAATAAACTCTGTATTCGGTGATTACCCTCCTGCGCCTGACTCCATTCATCACACACACTCCCTCAGAAGTTTAGGCATTATGGAAAATTGCCTCTGCAGTGGCTCAAGTGCCTCATTAAACCTCCTCCCCTCTTCTCACCTCCAATCTGAAGGACTCCAGTTCCTCCCTGAGGGCCTGGATCTCCCGTGTCAGCTGCTCGATCAGGCGGTCCCTAATGGAAACAGGACAGGACAAGGTCGTGTTCATTAGGCACCAAACGGAAGAAAACGGGCCGAAACAGGGAAAGGACTACCTGGACGTGGCCAATGATAAAAGCGTATTTTCCATTGCAAAAAGTTTTGGTACGGTGTGCCCAGGCCATACCTCAGCTGCAGGGCTTTCAATGCCTCCACATACCTCTATTGGAGGTCAGTTTGTCACACAAGTCAGACCAATCTATACAGACCAAGGATATCCTACAAATCATACAGAGTGTAGCAGTTTGCTTCTGGTGTTTTACTTGTCGTCCTTGCGCATCCCGTTCTGACTGTTGAAATTGAAGGGGTCGGTGGCGGCGGACGTGCCAAAGAGGTCGTCGAACCTGGGCTCTACCACAGCAGCCTAGTCGGAACCAACACAGCAAGACAGAGAGACAGTCAGCCTGCCAGTCAGTCAGTAGTTCTATAAGCTTTAGGTTTCATTAGGTTCAGTTGACAGACAAAGGAGAGTAGACACAGATACAGTACAACTAAGACAGAGCACAGAAGGGGCACCGTTTGTAACATGCCATATTTTGTGAAAAAAATTAATTCCGTACCACAGGAATGGGATAAGTGTGAGTCAGCTAGTGCACAAAATTAATCTTTCACACACAATATGGCATGTTACAAACAGCGCCCTGTAAAAAAGCAGTAATGTGACATGTTCAGATGGGCTACCGGCTGGACGGGGATGTCGGTGTCCACCAGGTCCTCTGTCACCAGGTCCACCATGTGTTCCGTCTCGGGGGAGGATGACTCAGCCGGGATGACTACCACGGGACTGATGTGCTCTGACAACGCCGACGCCCGCAGGAAGTTAGGTGGGTTCTGAGAGAGAGAGAAAGAGAGAGAGAGAGAGAGAGAAGAGAGAGAGACACACACGAGACAGAGCACGTCACGCCCTGGCCTATATAACTCTAGCTAGTTTGGTCAGGGTGTGAATAATCTATGTTTGTATTTCTATGTTTGGCCGGGTGTGGTTCCCAATCAGAGGCAGCTGTCGCTCGTTGTCTCTGATTGGGGATCATACTTAGGCAGCCAGTTTTCCTGCCTGTGTTGTGGGTTTTTGTTTGTGTTCGGTTAGTGTGGCTTGTTAGTGTTAGCCTTCCGACGTCACGTTTCGTTGTTTTTGTATGTTTATTCAGTTCAATAAACATGGATGCATTTCACGCTGCGTCTTGGTCCGTCCCGTCTATGGACGATGGTGACAGCACAATTAATCCAATTGTATTTGTATAGCACTTAACCAAGCAAAGGCAACAGAGAAAAATGGGAGACTACGTGATTAGGCAGCAGAGATCCTGTCTAATCTGCAGGCTAGTTCAGGAGGACTCCAGGCCTTACCTCAGGCAACTGTGGGATCTGAATGAGCCTCTTGAAGTACTGTAGGTTACTGGAGCGGTAGAACAGACTCTTCAGCCTAGCAGAGACAACAAGCACACAGATGAAACACTCCACCTTCATAATCACACCTTCAGCACTGGAGTTAGTTAGGTCAGGCGATAAAGCACTATGGGCCCTGGTCAAAACTAGTGCACTATATAGGGAATAGGGTGTCATTTGGGATGCCACCCATGACTTGTGTGTGAACTCACTTCTTGAACTGCTCCTGGAAGCGGTCTCTGTGGCCCTGGAGTGTGTCAGCAGGAAGGCCTGCAACAGACAGACAAACAGATCAGAGTTTTGGAATGTGTGTGTGTGTGCATGTGAAACTACTGAGAATGTGTTTGTACTACAGGTGTGTGTGTGTGTATACTAAGGTATTAGGCATTTCCTAACCCTATGATATGACCAGGAAAATTATGTGAATTACGTGCCCTTGGAATAGCCACCGTTTTTCTGGGAAGGTCACAGGAAATATTGTTGGCCCTAGATTAGTAGTCAAGTACGAGGTATTCAGGCTGTCACTCTGCTATTTGTCCAGCAGGGGGCATGTGTTGACTCACAGGAGTGCAGCTTGAAGAGCAGCTTGACGGTGTAGTCGTACAGGTGGCTGCTGTCCAGGATGACCTGGATCAGGGGAGCCAGGCGACACTGGCCTGCCGCCGTCACCGACACAGACCGTGACATGTCCAGGGAGCTGAACACTGCAAGGGAGGACACACAAACATATCAGTGATCATCACACACATAAAAAAAGGCATGTGTGTGTGTGCGTGGTTGTGCACGCAGGTGGTTAGGAAAAGCTGTTCTAGACTGAATCAACTAATGAGTATGTACTCCAACAGTGTCTCGCTTTCTTCCACTCTCATTACAGCTCTCTTTCAGTCCCTCTATCGCCTTTGCACTCCCTCCCGCTCTGATGCCAGTCCCTACAGACCCAGTTGTTTCCTCCACACAGAGGTGTGGTTTCCTGTGCAGCCAAACCCAGACACACACACACACACACAGTGAGGCCTCTCAGCTCCTGGGTGACGTGATGCTTTAGCCTGCAAAACATCTCTCCTGATGAGAGGCAAAGGGTGTGTGTGTGTGTGTGAGTGTGTGTGAGATGGATGAGAGGAGGAGGAGACAGGATAGAAATGAGTCCTACTGAGTGTTCAAATGGAGGAAGAAGGGCAATCATGTTGAGATGGATGGAAGATGGAATATGTGTTTTACTTTGTGAAGAGCTTATAGTGGCAGGGAGACAGGAGAGTACTGCATAGCTCTGTTTTAATGTCCATACTAGTATACTACTTCCAATGAAGCAATGTATTGGGCACACATTCTATGTGGTATGCTAGTGTGGATATTGGGACGTAGCCTATGAAGCCAAAACCAGGGTCATGTTCATTAGGCACCAAATGGAAGAGAATGGACAAAAACAGAAAGGCACTACCTGGACGCACATTTTTGTTTTCCGTTGCAAAACATTTTCCATTGCATGCACGGATGAACATGACCCTGACATATAAAAGCTAAGGGCCATGTTATGTCACAACATCTTTAGATAAGCGCGGTTGCAGAGGAGAGATGGAGAGAGAGAGACAGGAATAGCTTACCACCCAGGAAGAGGTTGAGCTCACACTCCAGGTAGTCGAACATCTCCACTGTCAACTGGAAGCTGTAGTGAGAGGACACACCCACCCACACACACAGAGGGGTTGGATTGGAGGGTTCACAGCATGTACAAAGTGGAGGAGTAGCCTACACATCACACATACAGAGGCTGTAAGACCCATGTAGCAATGAACCGGAGTTGGTTTGTATACATATAACAAGAGTCATATGCTCTATATAGAGTCTATAGAGATGATCTAATAGAAGGCAATAACAAAAACATTCTGCATTTACTTGTCATTTTCAACACTTCTAATCATAATCAAAGGGAACATTGGGGCTATATTAGAATATGTATCGCTATAGATCCAGCCCTCTGTGGTTTGGTGAGAACAACAATAGCAAGTGACACTCACAAATTGTTGACGTCGTTCTCTCCCGCTTCGTCAAGCTGCCTGTTTGACATCTGAAGGTTGCCGGGGAAACGGGGATTCTGGGGGAGAGAGAAGAACTTGTCATATCAGAACTGGGGCTGAATCTCAATTGTATTTCCTTGATCCCTCGTCTCATCTCTCCTTGCCTCCTTCTCAAAACGCATCGGAGGAGAAGATTCGAGGGGAGGAACCTCAGATATTCTGCTCCAATGTGCTTTGAGAAGGAGATTAGGAGAGAGGATGTGAGGAATCAAGGAAATACAATTGAGATTTACCCTCGGTTTTTCCACTTCAGTAGGCATCTCCAGGAACAATGACTAAAACCCCCAGAGCAACACCAAGTCTGCTGCCTGCAGTATTTCACTGAGCTTAGCTGTCTATGAGCTACTGATTCCTAAAAGGCCATTACTTTTAGAGAAGTGTGTCTGTGTGAGGAATATCCCTAGAGAAGGGTATATATATATATATATATATACATATAAATAAATAAATAAATAAATAAATAAATAAATAAATGAGAGAGCGAGAGAGAGAGAGAGAGAGAGAGAGAGAGAAGGGAGACTGGTCTGCCTGTCGTTCATACAGGCTGGGGCACTACTCACTTTGACGTGGAACTCCATCTTGGTGATAAGCAGTTTGAGGTAGATGCTGCACAACTTCCCATAGCCTTCACTTAGGTGACCCTGAGGGCAGAGGGGAAAAGGGGAACAGATGGAGTGAGATGCCTTAGAGAGAGACCAGATCAAACAGATATTCCAGGGGCTTGGGAGATTTCCAAAGGAGTCGCTGTTACAGAAGGAATTTTCTCATTAAATCAAATTGATCTGCTTCTGCAAAGTCTTGCACTGTAGGAGTGCAGGCCTATGTGTGTGTGTGCATGGTGTGTATGTTTGTGTGTGTGTGTGTGTTTTAGTGGTGCGCGGGTCAACTTGTTGTTCACCTGCGATTGCTAACCCATCCGCAACCGCCCGACTATATGTGACAAAGTGAAAATCTGTGGCCCACACCCGACCCTAACCTGCTAATATAGAAAATGCGCTGTAGGCTACAGTAAGAGATAGTGAAAAGCATTTTTGACAGGGGGTGCATGATCTTTTTTGCCTGATTTAGCATTGTTCCTGCTTATAATTTTTATAATCTATAATTTGATACATGCAGCTTCTCTTCTGTCATTATATGTTGCCCCAGAATACTAATTAAACTCTTGGTCACCAGAATAATGTCATAAATCGATAGAATGAATGTTTGAATCTAGTTGACATCGGTAAAGTTCTCTCTGTCATCTCTGCTCCTTTCACGCATATTTTATGTGGTTGAAATACTAAATCAGCTTTTATGATGCTGATCAGAATCACCTTTATTTGCCAAGTACATTTACACATACTCAGAATTTTACTTGGCGATATGGTGCTGCTAGTGAAAGACAACATTTAGAGACAGAATACAGACAACGGATTTTAAACAAAGTTTACGTACAGTACCAGTCAAAAGTTTGGAACACACCTACTCATTCAAGGATTTGTCTTTATTTTTACTATTTTCTACATTGTAGAATAATAGTGAAGACATCAAAACTATGAAATAACACATACGGAATCATGTAGTAAACAAAAGAAGTGTTAAACAAATCAAAATATGTTTTATATTTGAGATTCTTCAAATAGCCACCCTTTGCCTTGATGACAGCTTTGCACACTCTTGGCATTCCTTCAACCAGCTTTCACCTGGAATGCTTTTACAACAGTCTTGAAGGAGTTCCCACTTATGCTGAGCATTTGTTGGCTGCTTTTCCTTCACTCTGCCGTCCACTCATCCCAAACCATCTCAATTGGGTTGAGGTCGAGGGATTGTTGGTCAAATAGCCCTTACACAGCCTGGAGGTGTGTTGGGTCATTGTCCTGTTGAAAAACAAATGATAGTCCCACTAAGCCCAAACCAGATGGGATGGCGTATCGCTGCAGAATGCTGTGGTAGCCATGCTGGTTAAGTGTGCCTTGAATTCTAAATAAATCACAGAGTGTCACCAGCAAGGCACCTCCACATCATAACACACACGTCCTCCATGCTTTACGGTGGGAACTATGCATGCGGAGATCATACGTTCACCCACACCGCGTCTCACAAAGACACGGCGGTTGGAACCAAAAATCTCAAAATTTGGACTCCAGACCAAAGGACAAATTTCCACTGGTCTAATGTCCATTTCTTGTGTTTCTTGGCCCAAACAGGTCTCTTCTTATTATTGGTGTCCTTTAGTAGTGGATTCTTTGCAGCAATTCGACCATGAAGGCCTGATTCACACAGTCTCCTCTGAACAGTTGATGTTGAGATGTGTCTGTGACTTGAACTCAGTGAAGCATTTCTTTGGGCTACAATTTCTGAGGCTGGTAACTCTAATGAACTTCTCCTCTGCAGCAGAGGTAACTCTGGGTCTTCCATCCCTTTGGAGGTCCTAATGAGAGACAGTTTCATCATAGCGCTTGATGGTTTTTGCGACTGCACTTGAAGAAACTTTCAAAGTTCTTGACATTTTCCGTATTGACTGACCTTCATGTCTTAAAGTAATGATGGACTGTCGTTTCTCTTTGCTTTTTGAGCTGTTCTTTCCATAATATGGACTTGGTCTTTTACCAAATTGTGCTATCTTCTGTATACCACATCTACCTTGTCACAACACAACTGATTGGCTCAAACGCATTAAGGAAAGAAATTCCACAAATTAACTTTTAAGAAGGCACACCTGTTAATTGAAATGCATTCAGGTGACTACCTCATGAAGCTGGTTAAGAGAATGCCAAGAGTGTGCAAAGCTGTCATCAAGGCAAAGGGTGGCTATTTGAAGCATCTCAAATATAAAATATATTTTGATTTGTTTAACACTTTTTCCATCTGTGTTATTTCATAGTTTTGATGTCTTAACTATTATTCTATAATGTAAAAAATAGTAAAAATAAAGAAAAACCCTTGAATGAGTAGGTGTGTCCAAACTTTTGACTGGTAGTGTACATTATATACATATACTATATAAAACTTTATATAAAAGATATACACCGTCTGTAGAGGTGCTAAATGCACATTCACATTCTCTCAAGATGCTGAGAGAACTACATCTTGTTCCTGAGTAAAAGTTTTGCCTACAATTGGTGTATCATTTTCAGTGGTGTAAAGTACTTACAGTTGAAGTCAGAAGTTTACATACACTTAGGTTGGAGTCATTAAAACCAGTTTTTCAACCACTCCACACATTTCTTGTTCACAAACTATAGTTTTGGCAAGTTGGTTATGACATCTACTTTGTGCATGACACAAGTAATTTTTCCAACAATTGTTTACAGACAGATTATTTCACTTATAATTCACTGTATCACAATTCCAGTGGGTGAGAAGTTTACATACACTAAGTTGACTGTGCCTTTAAACAGCTTGGAAAATTCCAGAAAATGATGTCATGGCTTTAGAAGCTTCTGATAGGCTAATTGACATCATTTGAGTCAATTGGAGGTGTACCTGTGGATGTATTTCAAGGCCTACCTTCAAACTCAGTGTCTCTTTGCTTGACATCATGGGAAAATCAAAAGAAATCAGCCAAGACCTCAGAAAAAAAATTGTAGACCTCCACAAGTCTGGTTCATCCTTGTGAGCAATTTCCAAACGCCTGAAGGTACCACGTTCATCTGTACAAACAATAGTACGCAAGTATAAACAACATGGGACCATGCAGCCGTCATACCGCTCAGGAAGGAGACACGTTCTGTCTCCTAGAGATGAATGTACTTTGGTGCGAAAAGTGCAAATCCATCCCAGAACAACAGCAAAGGACCTTGGGAAGATGCTGGAGGAAACAGGTACAAAAGTATCTATATCCACAGTAAAACGAGTCCTATATCGACATAACCTGAAAGGCCGCTCAGCAAGGAAGAAGCCACTGCTCCAAAACCGCCATAAAAAAGCCAGACTACGGTTTGCAACTGCACATGGGGACAAAGATCGTACTTTTTGGAGAATTGTCCTCTGGTCTGATGAAACTAAAATAGAACTGTTTGGCCATAATGACCATTGTTATGTTTGGAGGTAAAAGGGGGTCGCTTGCAAGCCGAAGAACACCATCCCAACCGTGAAGCACGGGGGTGGCAGCATCATGCTGTGGGGGTGCTTTGCTGCAGGAGGGACTGGTGCACTTCACAAAATAGATGGCATCATGATGAAGGAAAATGATGTGGATATATTGAAGCAACATCTCAAGCCATCAGTCAGGAAGTTAAAGCTTGTCACAAATGGGTCTTCCAAATGGACAATGACCGCAAGCATACTTCCAAAGTTGTGGCAAAATGGCTTAAGGACAACAAAGTCAAGGTATCGGAGTGGCCATCACAAAGCCCTGACCTCAATCCTATAGAACATTTGTGGGCAGAACTGAAAAAGCGTGTGCGAGCAAGGAGGCCTACAAACCTGACTCAGTTACACCAGCTCTGTCAGGAGGAATGGGCCAAAATTCACCCAATTTATTGTGGGAAGCTTGTGGAAGGCTACCCGAAACGTTTGACCCAAGTTAAACAATTTAAAGGTAATGCTACCAAATACTAATTGAGTGTATGTAAACTTCTGACCCACTGGGAATGTGATGAAATAAATAAAAGCTGAAATAAATCATTCTCTCTACTATTATTCTGACATTTAACATTCTTAAAATAAAATGGTGATCCTAACTGACCTAAGACAGGGAATTTTTACTAGGATTAAATGTCAGGAATTGTGAAAAACTGAGTTTAAATGTATTTGGCTAAATGTATTTGGCTTTTACTTTTACTTCACTAAATTCCTAAAGAAAATAATGTACTTTTTACACTAAACACAAATGTTTCATTTGTAAATGATGTCTGAATGTTGGAGTGTGCCCGTGGACTATCCGTAAATAAAAAGGAAAAAAAAGAAAAGTGTGCTGTCTGGTTTGCTTAAAATAAGGAATTTGAAATGGTTCATACTTTTACTTTTGATACTTAAGTACATTTTAGCAATTCCATTTACTTTTAATACTTAAGTATATTTAAAAGCAAATACTTTTAGACTTTTACTCAAGTAGTATTTTATTGGGTGAATTTCACTTGAGTCATTTTCTATTAAGGTATCTTTACTTTTAGTCAAGTATGACAATTGAGTACTTTTTACACCACTGATCATTTTACTATAAGTAATGCTTAATTCTGCAGTTCCCTATTTGAAGGCCTATGGCGCACGTACAGTTAGGCCCTAAAGCTTAGGCTTACGCACTAATGCCAGATAGCCTAAAATAATTAAAGAAAAACTTCAATGTAGCATATAGAATTATACATTTAGGGATTTTTTAAGGTATTGTTTTCTCTTTATTCATCCACACAATATTTCATGACCCTAAACCAGCCCACCCGCAGATATAACCACGGGGACTGCGGGTTATGACTCACCCCACACATCACTAGTGTGCGTGTGTATGTGTGTATATATATATATATGTGTGTGTGTGTGTGTGTGTGTGTATGTGTGGCAAAGTGAATAGCCAGCTATGAAGTCAATTGCTTCTTCTCACTTCCCTTTCCTTGAGCCCTCAGTGTGATGTCACAACAGGAAGGAAGCAGTACTGACTGGTCATCAAGGTCACTCTCCCAGAGTCCTAGTATATTTTATACCATCAGCAAATACCAAGAGACCCAACTAAGTGTACTTCCAGGAAAAGGTTACTAGTCAGCATTAGTCCCTACTGCTCCCCCGCCCATCTTACTCACTGAATACATGGGCAGTAAACGGTTAGGCTTTTCCACTGTACTGCTGCAACCCAGAGGCAACTCTTTTGTTGAAACGTGGTTATTTCATGTAAAAATTTAACGTATGTCAAATCAACAGTCCTAAATCAATCATTCAACTGGATGGAAACATTTGTTTCCAAAAAAAAAAGAGTAAAGCTATAGTCTATACACAGTAGCACCATTAGGATACCATAACAACAGCGTGTGTTGTTGAGTCTGACACAGGTTGAGCAGGACCACATTGCTGTATGACTGTCACCTATTAGAATGTTGGTCACTCAGATGGCGACGGCAACACTAACTGACAGCAGACCAGCATGGACACACCACACTGATATGGTGTTGAAGGGAAATAATGATGGCATGGGGGTGATCATGATTTTACCCCCCAGTCAATGTACAATATATGACATGCGTGTTCTTAAATCACACCATATTCCCTATATTAGGACTGTGCCCGACCCAAAAAAATATTGGTCAACCGAAAGTAGTCTATTAAACTTGTATTTTTCCATATATAGACACACCCTATGTGTTTTAATAAAATCACCTATACTGAACAAAAATATAAATGCAACATGTAAAGTGTTCGTCCCATGTTTCATGAGCTGAAATAAAAGATCCCAGAATTTTTCCATACGCACAAAAAGCTTATTTCTCTCAAATTGTCACGCCCTGACATTTAATACCTGTTGTTTCTTGTTGGTTTGGTCAGGGTGTACATTCTATGTTTTGTATATCTATGTTGGCCGGGTGTGGTTCCCAATCAGAGGCAGCTGTCGATCGTTGTCTCCGATTGGGGATCATACTTATTTTGCCTACCTTTAGTTGTGGGATCTTGTTTCTGTGTGTTTGGCTTGTTTGATGTTTAGCCTTTAGGACTTCACGTTACGTTGCTTTTGTTGTTTTGTCGGTGTTTATATAATAAACGAACATGGACGCATACCACGCTGCACCTTGGTCCAATCCTTTACACGACGTACGTGCACAAATTTGTTTACATCTCTGTTAGTGAACATTTCTCGTTTGCCAAGATAATCTATCCACCTGACAGGTGTGGCATATCAAGAAGCTGATTAAACAGCATCATTACACAGGTGCACCTTGTGCTGGGGACAATAACAGGCCACTTTAAAATGTACAGTTTTGTCACACAACACCACAGATGTCTCAAGTTGAGGTAGCGCGCAATTGGCATGCTGACTGCAGGAATGTCCCCCAGAGCTGTTGCCAGAGAATTGAATGTTCATTTCTCTACCATAAGCCACCTCCAAAGTCATTTTAGAGAATTTGGCAGTACGTCGAACCGGCCTCACAACCACAGACCAAGTGTAACCACGCCAGCCCAGGACCTCCACATCCGGCTTCTTCACCTGTGGGATCGTCTGTGACCAGCCACCTGGTCAGCTGATGAAACTGAGGAGTATTTCTGTCTATAATAAAGCCCTTTTGTGTGGAAAAACTAATTCTGATTGGCTGGGCCTGGCTCCCCAGTGGGTGGGCCTGGCTCCCAAGTGGGTGGGTCTATGAACTCCCAGGCCCACCCATGGCTGCGCCCCTGCCCAGTCATGTGAAATCCATAGATTAGAGCCTAATGAATTTACTTAAATTGACTGATTTCCTTATATGAACTGCAACATGTTGTATTTCTAATTTTGTTAAGTATTTAAGCATTGAGCTTGTCTGATGATTTAAGCGCACTGTTTGATTAAATAAGACACAAATGACTCAAGAGGGAGCCAGAGATCAAGATAACCAGAAGAAAGAAACCTTAACTTGACACAACCATCCTCCTCCTGCTCCTGCTGGCTTTCGCAGGTTCTGCCGTTAGTCTCCTGAATTTGCCATTAATAGGCTACACGAGGAGGCGGCAACCTTTTTCATGTGGAATTCCAATTTATCTTACCATTTCTACCGATCTGCGTGTCAGTTATGGTTTTCATTTGCACACTTTTGTGGAAGATTTTCATTTAATCTCAAAATCATTGTCAAGTGGTTAATAAAAATTATATCCAAATCTAAATGAAAATGATACAAACCTAAAAAAGTAACTTCTATTTCAACTTGGGTCTAGGGCTGTTGTGGTGACCGTATTACCGCCACACCGGTGGTCACAAGTCATGAAGGCAGTCAAATTCCACGTGACTGTTTAGTCACGGTAATTAGGCTTCTCCAAGCTCTGATGCTGCTGATGGTCATTAGTAGCCTACCAAACTTGCTAACTGCCTGGTACTCTATTGTACCTCTGATCACTCTGACATCAATGCAAATGTAATTGAAAAGCTAAATCAGACACTTCATGAGAGCCCATGAGTTCATGTTGCGCAACATTTCTATAGGCTATGCAATTGCGCAAGAAAACAGAGTGATGGTCGCTAATAAAAAGAGGAGGATCCCATCTGCTTTCTATAGGCTAGGCCTACTATACAGTGGGGAGAACAAGTATTTGATACACTGCCGATTTTGCAGGTTTTCCTACTTACAAAGCATGTAGAGGTCTGTAATTTTTATCATAGGTACACTTCAACTGTGAGAGACGGAATCTAAAACAAAAATCCAGAAAATCCATTTTTAAGTAATTCATTTGCATTTTATTGCATGACATAAGTATTTGATCACCTACCAACCAGTAAGAATTCCGGCTCTCACAGACCTGTTAGTTTTTCTTTAAGAAGCCCTCCTGTTCTCCACTCATTACCTGTATTAACTGCACCTGTTTGAACTCGTTACCTGTATAAAAGAGACCTGTCCACACACTCAATCAAACAGACTCCAACCTCTCCACAATGGCCAAGACCAGAGAGCTGTGTAAGGACATCAGTGATAAAATTGTAGACCTGCACAAGGCTGGGATGGGCTACAGGACAATAGGCAAGCAGCTTGGTGAGAAGGCAACAACTGTTGGCGCAATTATTAGAAAATGGAAGAAGTTCAAGATGACGGTCAATCACCCTCGGTCTGGGGCTCCATGCAAGAGCTCACCTCGTGGGGCATCAATGATCATGAGGAAGGTGAGGGATCAGCCCAGAACTACACAGCAGGACCTGGTCAATGACCTGAAGAGAGCTGGGACCACAGTCTCAAAGAAAACCATTAGTAACACACTACGCCATCATGGATTAAAATCCTACAGCGCATGCAAGGTCCCCCTGCTCAAGCCAATGACCATCTGGATGATCCAGAGGAGGAATGGGAGAAGGTCATGTGGTCTGATGAGACAAAAATATAGCTTTTTGGTCTAAACTCCACTCGCCGTGTTTGGAGGAAGAAGAAGGATGAGTACAACCCCAAGAACACCATCCGTGAAGCATGGAGGTGGAAACATCATTCTTTGGGGATGCTTTTCTGCAAAGGGGACAGGACGACTGCACCATATTGAGGGGAGGATGGATGGGGTCATGTATCGCGAGATCTTGGCCAACAACCTCCTTCCCTCAGTAAGAGCATTGAAGATGGGTGGTGGCTGGGTCTTCCAGCATGACAACGACCCGAAACACACAGCCAGGGCAACTAAGGAGTGGCTCCGTAAGAAGCATTTCAAGGTCCTGGAGTGGCCTAGCCAGTCTCCAGACCTGAACCCAATAGAAAATCTTTGGAGGGAGCTGAAAGTCCGTATTGCCCAGCCACAGCCCCGAAACCTGAAGGATCTGGAGAAGGTCTGTATGGAGGAGTGGGCCAAAATCCCTGCTGCAGTGTGTGCAAAACTGGTCAAGACCTACAGGAAACATATGATCTCTGTAATTGCAAACAAAGGTTTCTGTACCAAATATTAAGTTCTGCATTTCTGATGTATCAAATACTTATGTCATGCAATAAAATGCTAATTAATTACTTAAAAATCATACAATGTGATTTTCTGGATTTTTGTTTTAGATTCCGTCTCTCACAGTTGAAGTGTACCTATGATAAAAATTACAGACCTCTACATGCTTTGTAAGTAGGAAAACCTGCAAAATCGGCAGTGTATCAAATACTTCTTCTCCCCACTGTATTTATTTCTCAACTTTCCTAATATTAAGCACATTGCTTCTCTTTACAACAGGAGTATAGCCTACCTGGCTGCCATGAAAATGAACCAAGGGGCCTCCCGAGTGGCGCAGCGGTCTAAGGCACTGGATCACAGTGTTGCAGCGTCACTACAGCCTAGGGTTCGATCCCAGGCTATGTCATTACAGGCCGTGATCGGGAGTCCCATAGGGCGGCGCATAATTAGCCCAGTGTCGTCCGGGTTAGGGGAGGGTTTGGCAGGGGGGGCTTTACTTGGCTCATCGCGCTCTAGCGACTCCTTGTGGTGGGCCGGGCGCCTGCAGGCTGACTTTGGTCGTCAGTTGAACAGTGTTTCCTCCGACACATTTGGTGCGGCTGGTTTCTGGGTTAAGCGAGCGGGTGTTAAGAAGCGTGGTTTGGCGGGTCATGTTTCAGAGGACACATGATTCGACCTTTGCCTCTCCCGAGCCCGTTGGGGAGTTGCAGCGAAGAGACAAGATCGTAATCACGAAATTGGGGAGAAAAAGGGTGTAAGAATTACACAAAAAATTAAATAAATTGAAAATGAACCAAGGGAAAAGCGGTCCTCCATTCGCTATTTAAGTGCATAGATGACATGTATTTTTTCCCCTGCCCGTGTTTCGAGATTGGACCATTATCATGCACCTTTCTAAATCAAAACTAATTTCACACATATTTATTTAGTATATGTAAAGACAAGATTAAATCAAGAATAGTCTGATGGGTGACAATATTAGCCTATCACTGAATGATGCCCAGCATAAAGACGATGCATTTTTTTTGCGACTTTTTCTAAATCATAGTCGCACACCTCATGTAGCCTAGCCCATAGGCCTATATGTTTTGATAAAGTTTGTATCACAACTAAAGTGGCCAAATAACTTCTAAAAAGCACATTAATCCGCTTTACAAGAGGTGTAGAGCCTAACTGGCATCCATAAGCAGCGCGTGAGTTTCAAGTTTGGGGAAGATATGTTTTCACCATAGAAATGCACCTTTATAATAAAAGCATTACATGCATAATCGCATTTGCGGTCACTTTTGATAATGGTGTTTTCCCGCTAATGGAACATTTGTGCTTATAGCCTACTGCCATGTGCGATTTGCTGCGCTTATAATGTGAAGAAATAGCCTAATGGTTTATCAACATTTTAAGCTAAACGTTCTGATCTGTTGCGTCAGCCACATTGCGTAAAAAATGTTTTGGGATGCTAGTGGTTGTATTCATTTGGGATCTATCGCATCCCACAACTGTCCAGACTATGTTTGGAATATTTATTTCTCGCACAGAATAGGTCAACTTTTGTACTATGGGGGATAGTAGATTGACATAGGCTAGTGCTTTTGCTGTTCGTTAGGACTACTCATCTTGTTGGCTGACGAAAAGCAAAATGTGGACAGCTCTTCCAATATGCACCTTGGAATTGGATAAGGAAGCGCGCAGTTGCGTCCCCGATGTGTCTGTCTTCACCTGTGAGAAATACCCGATCACGTGATGGAGAGCTGTGTGAGTGAGATGAGAGGTGATTTGGAGTGCACAGCCCTCAGGGAGAAGGGCGCAACGCAGGACTCCGGGTCAAGGGCACAACGGCCACTGGCCGCAAAAGGCATGGATTTTGTTAGGGTGCATTACGGCCACACAAAGTGGATGCCGCCGTGAAATTCGAGGCATTATCAAGTGCTAGTGCTTGTGAAATTGTGAATGAGAGACTGATGAATTGTGTAAAGCCTGCGCAAAAAAACAAAGCAGAGCTCATGCCTTTCAAGCGACTTTTTTCAAATCAGCATTAGAGTCACATCATGCAGCCTTACAATGTATTAAAAATCTAAACATATAGTTACATTAATAACTCTAAATTAAGCATATAGGAGTACCTATTTCTTTGTTAATCGCTCAACAAAGAATAGCCGCATGTGCACACTCTCTCAAATTGTTTGGAGAAAATATCCTTTCTATTTTATTCAGCTTTGTTCAATTGTATTCTTCATACTATAAAATAATGCCAAATCTTGTCTGCTAAATGAACTAGTGTAGCCCACAGACATTTGGCATAGCCAGATCAGGACCTAACATAAGGACAACTCAGAGTATGCTATTCTGTTCTTCTGAAATAGACTACATTTTCTTCATATCATGCTTCTTCAAACCAGTCTAAAATAAATAATGGATTTATTGTGAAGGTGTAGGCTATATTACATGGATTTATTAGACTTTTTAAAACGCATCAGTGGCTTGTAGGCTATGTGTGGAAGCCAGGAGATGCTAAATGTGTTTATGTTCATTAACGGTCAATTACCGTGAGACCGACAGTTATTTGCTTGACAATCACCGGCTGACAACATTTTGTTGCCGCCACAGCCCTACTTGTGTCCAGCCTCAAGCTCCTGCTAGCAAACTTGCAGCATTGTATAAAATATTCTGCGCCCTCAGTTTCCTTGCGCCAGAGAGCTTGGGACAGACACAGCTGTAGGCTATTTATGCAAGGGATAAGAAGTAATCAGGTAGGCCTATTTCATGACATTTCCACTGGATCAGAGCATGACATTTTTCCCTTTCACGCTGAGTGGTTACCGAAAGGGAGAGAGCTGGAAATATTTTCATTCTCAATGGATGTAAAAACAGACTTAATTTGCTTGCTGTTTGAGGTGAAGAAAACATTACTTTGAGAAGTTCCACAGCTGATTAGTGGTGGTGCATTAATAACCTCCTAGGGCTTAGTGGTCACATACGTGGACAGCACTTTTTAGCTCTTATGTCCACAATTTCATGGCTTATTCTGATTTAGATATTTATAAAAGCCTTGTATATTTGTCATGACATGCAAATTTGAAAAAAAAAAGTGTAAAACTAGCAACTTTGTAGGTCGCTAAACATGAAGTACACGTAAGTGTACTTATGGACTGAGGCTCCTCGAAACAGCTAATATGCTTGTAAACATGCACACACGTAAAATGGGAAAAAAGCTAGCTCTGATGCAGCTAAAAAGCTGTACATGGTCCCAATGAAATAAATAACAATTAAATCACTAAATACATACATACATACATACTTAAATTAGTTGTGTTGAAAATGTTAGTAAAAATGTAATATGCTAGTAAAAATGTGCACATGTAAATTATATTTTGTTACAGACATACAATGTCATCCTGCAACTATTTTGCAGCATATCAAATGTTCCAAACACTATTTTTAACTGTCCAAAATGGGCAAAAATGCAATGTTTCCATATTATTTTTACTCTCCGATAGTCAAAACATGTTCAAAAAATATGTGTATGTGTTATTAATACATTAAAAAACAGTCAGGAAAAAAACTGCTGTGTTCAAGGCAGAAATGAAGAGTTTTTCATTCTATTACACAAAGGTGACTTTATTGTGTTTTATGGAAATTCGGACCATGAATCCACATATGTGGACATCATTTTTCTCTAAAAGTACATCATATCAAAAGATGATACTTAGTTTTTATTCTAATTAGGTTCCAATAAGCCCAAATAGCAAAGAGAAATAAAAAATGCATGTAAAAAAACAGCTTGGGCCTTAAGAGGTTAAGCCAATCAGAAATACTATCAGATCCCCAAATGGGCACATTTATATGCCTACATTTGCGCGCAGGCCAGGTAGCTTATAGGCCTACTTCTATGCGTAATGAACATTGACAGTAGTGCTCCTGTCAATGTTGAGTAAGGACTATAAAAACAATGATTAAATTGACAAATCTCGTAAATAGAATTAAATAAACCAAAACTTGTTCCTCATAAGTGTAACATAGGTTGTGCACTCTGCAAACAAACTGTCCACTCCGACAATGAGAACAATAAAAGACTGGAATAATAATATATTGAATGCATTAACAGAAGTTACCGTAGCCAAACAAACATTGTAGAAATTATAGGAACTAACGGTAAATGTACTACTGGTGATATACACTACCGTTCAAAAGTTTGGGGTCACTTAGAAATGTCCTTGTTTTCGAAAGAAAAGCAATTTTTTTGTCCATTAAAATAACATCAAATTGATCAGAAATACAGTGTAGACATTGTTAATGTTGTAAATGGCTATTGTAGCTGGAAACTGCTGATTTTTAATGGAATATCTACGTAGGCGTACAGAGGCCCATTATCAGCAACCATCAGTCCTGTGTTCCAATGGTACGTTGTGTTTGCTAATCCAAGTTTATCATTTTAGAAAGGCTAATTGATCATTAGAAAACCCTTTTGCAATTATGTTAGCTGAAAACTGTTGTGCTGATTAAAGAAGCAATACAATTTCCACAGGTCTCTTCTTATTATTGGTGTCCTTTAGTAGTGGTTTCTTTGCAGCAATTCGACCACGAAGGCCTGATTCACACAGTCCCCTCTGAACAGTTGATGTTGAGATGTGTCTGTTACTTGAACTCTGTGAAGCATTTATTTGGGCTGCAATTTCTGATGAACTTATCCTCTGCATTAGAGGTATCTCTGGGTCTTCCATTCCTGTGGTGGTCCTCATGAGAGACAGTTTCATCATAGTGCTTGATGGTTTTTGCGACTGCACTTGAACGTTAAAAGTTCTTGAAATGTTCCGGATTGACTGACCTTCATGTCTTAAAGTAATGATGGACTGTCATTTGTCTTTGCTTATTTGAGCTGTTCTTGCCATAATATGGACTTGGTCCTTTACCAAATAGGGCTATCTTCTGTATACCCCCCCTACCTTGTCACAACACAACTGATTGGCTCAAACGCATTAAGAAGGAAAGAAATTCCACAAATTAACTTTTAAGAAGGTACACCTGTTAATTGAAATGCATTCAGGTGACTACCTCATGAAGCTGGTTAAGAGAATGCCAAGAGTGTGCAAAGCTGTCATCAAGGCAAAGGGTGGCTATTTGATTTGTTTAACACTTTTTTGGTTACTACATGATTCCATGTGCAATTTCATAGTGTTGATGCCTTCACTATTATTCTACAATGTAAAAAATAGTAAAAATAAAGAAAAACCCTTGAATGAGTAGGTGTGTCCAAACTTTTGACTGGTAGGGTATATAATTTACATATAAACTCACCAAAAAAAGAAACTCAAATCAAATTTTATTTGCCACATGCGCCGAATACAACAGGTGTAGACATTACTGTGAAATGCTTACTTACAGCCCTTAACCAACAATGCATTTATTCTTTAATAAAAAAGTAAAATAAAACAACAACAACAACATAAAAGTGTTGAGAAAAAAAGAGCAGAAGTAAAATAAAATAACAGTAGGGAGGCTATATACCAGGGGGGTACCGGTGAGATAATTAGTGAACATCCAAATAACTTCACAGATCTTCATGGTAAAGGGTTTAAACACTGTTTCCCATGCTTGTTCAATGAACCATAAACAATTCATGAACATGCACCTGTGGAACGGTCGTTTAGACACTAACAGCTTACAGATGGTAGGCAATTAAGGTCACAGTTATGAAAACTTAGGACACTAAAGAGGCCTTTCTACTGACTCTGACAAACACCAAAAGAAAGATGCCGAGGGTCCCTGCTCATCTGTGTGATCGTGCCTTAGGCATGCTGCAAGGAGGCATGAGGACAGCAGATGTGGCCAGGACAATAAATTGCAATGTCCGTACTGTGAGACGCCTAAGACAGCGCTACAGGGAGACAGGACGGACAGCTGATCATCCTCACAGTGGCAGACCACATGTAACAACACCTGCACAGGATCGGTACATCCAAACATCACACCTGTGGGACAGGTACAGGATGGCAACAACAACTGCCCAAGTTACACCAGGAACGCACAATACCTCCATCAGTGCTCAGACTGTCCGCAATAGGCTGAGAGAGGCTGGACTGAGGGCTTGTAGGCCTGTTGTAAGGCAGGTCCTCATCAGACATCACCGGCAACAACGTCGCCTATGGGCACAAACCCACCGTCGCTGGACCACACAGGACTGGCAAAAAGTGCTCTTCACTGACGAGTCGCGGATTTTTCTCACCAGGGGTGATGGTCGGATTCGCGTTTATCGTTGAAGGAATGAGCGTTACACCGAGGCCTGTACTCTGGAGCGGGATCGATTTGGAGGTGGAGGGTCCGTCATGGTCTGGGGCGGTGTGTCACAGCATCATTGGACTGAGCTTGTTGTCATTGCAGGCAATCTCAACGCTGTGCGTTACAGGGAAGACATCCTCCTCCCTCATGTGGTACCCTTCCTGCAGGCTCATCCTGACATGACCCTCCAGCATGACAATGCCACCAGTCATACTGCTCGTTCTGTGCGTGATTTCCTGCAAGACAGGAATGTCAGTGTTCTGCCATGGCCAGCGAAGAGCCCGGATCTCAATTCCATTGAGCACGTCTGGGACCTGTTGGATCGGAGGGTGAGGGCTAGGGCCATTCCCCCCAGAAATGTCTGGGAACTTGCAGGTGCCTTGGTGGAAGAGTGGGGTAACATCTCACAGCAAGAACTGGCAAATCTGGTGCAGTCCATGAGCAGGAGATGCACTGCAGTACTTAATGCAGCTGGTGGCCACACCAGATACTGACTGTTACATTTGATTTTGACCCCCCCTTTGTTCAGGGACACATTACTCAATTTCTGTTAGTCACATGTCTGTGGAACTTGTTCAGTTTATGTCTCAGTTGTTGAATCTTGTTATGTTCATACAAATATTTACACATGTTAAGTTTGCTGAAAATAAACGCAGTTGACAGTGAGAGGACGTTTCTTTTTTTGCTGAGTTTATACAGTTGAAGTCGGAAGTTTACATACACCTTAGCCAAATACATTTAAACTCAGTTTTTCACAATTCCTGACATTTAATCCAGGTAAAAATTCCCTGTTTTAGGTCAGTTAGGATCACCACTTTATTTTAAGAATGTGAAATGTCAGAATAATAGTAGAGAATGATTTATTTCAGCTTTTATTTCTTTCATCACATTCCCAGTGGGTCAGAAGTTTAAATACACTCAATTAGTATTTGGTAGCATTGCCTTTAAATTGTTTAACTTGGGTCAAACATTTGGGGTAGCCTTCCACAAGCTTCCCACAATAAGTTGGGTGAATTTTGGCCCATTCCTCCTGACAGAGCTGGTGTAACTGAGTCAAGTTTGTAGGCCTCCTTGCTCGCACACGCTTTTTCAGTTCTGCCCACTAATTTTCTATAGGATTGAGGTCACGGCTTTGTGATGGCCACTCCAATACCTTGACTTTGTTGTCCTTAAGCCATTTTGCCACAACTTTGGAAGTATGCTTGGGGTCATTGTCCATTTGGAATACCCATTTGCGACCAAGCTTTAACTTCCTCACTGATGTCTTGAGACGTTGCTTCAATATATCCACATAATTTTCCTTCATCATGATGCCATCTATTTTGTGAAGTGCACCAGTCCCTACTGCAGCAAAGCACCCCCACAGCATGATGCTGCCATCCCCGTGCTTCACGGTTGGGATGGTGTTCTTCGGCTTGCAAGCCACCCCCTTTTTCCTCCAAACATAACGATGGTCATTATGGCCAAACAGTTCTATTTTTGTTTAATCAGACCAGAGGACATTTCTCCAAAAAGTACGATCTTTGTCCCCATGTGCAGTTGCAAACCGTAGTCTGGCTTTTTTATGGCAGTTTTGGAGCAGTGGCTTCTTCCTTGCTGAGCGGCCTTTCAGGTTATGTCGATATAGGACTCGTTTTACTGTGGATATAGATACTTTTGTACCTGTTTCCTCCAGCATCTTCCCAGGGTCCTTTGCTGTTGTTATGGGATTGATTTGCACTTTTCGCACCAAAGTACGTTCATCTCTAGGAGACAGAACGTGTCTCCTTCCTGAGCAGCATGACGGCTGCGTGGTCCCATGGTGTTTATACTTGCGTACTATTGTTTGTACAGATGAACATGGTACCTTCAGGCGTTTGGAAATTGCTCCCAAGGATGAACCAGACTTGTGGAGGTTTACAAATTTTTTCTGAGGTCTTGTCTGATTTCTTTAGATCTTCCCATGATATCAAGGAAAGAGGCACTGAGTTTGAAGGTAGGCCTTGAAATACAACCACAGGTACACCTCCAATTGACTCAAATGATGTCAATTAGCCTATCAGAAGCTTCTAAAGCCATGACATCATTTTCTGGAATTTTCCAAGCTGTTTAAAGGCACAGTCTTCTGCATGTAAACTTCTGACCCACTGGAATTGTGATACAGTGAATTATAAGTGAAATAATCTGTCTGTAAACAATTGTTGGAAAAATTACTTGTGTCATGCACAAAGTAGATGTCCTAACCAACTTGCCAAAACTATAGTTTGTTAACAAGAAATTTGTGGAGTGGTTGAAAAACGAGTTTTAATGACTCCAACCTAAGTGTATGTAAACTTCCGACTTCAACTGTATATACATATTTGACAGTGAGAGGACGTTTCTTTTTTTGCTGAGTTTATATATATATATACATATTTGCTACTGCTCAACTAAATAAAATGTTGGTCGACCAACAGCCTATCGACCAAATAATTGACCAGTCGACTGGAGTCAGCCCTTCCCTATAGTGCACTACCTCTGAGCAGGGCCAATAGGGCTCTTGTCAAACTTAATGCACTATATAGGGAATAGGGTGCCATTTCCGACGCAGCCAATGTGTCCATGCCAGCCTGCCGGTTAAGAGTGGTAGACATGATGACTGGGGCTGAGAGTTTTTCCTTGTCTGGATGGAAAACCTTAGGGCCCTAATGGCAACCATCAGTGCTGTGTTCTGATCCTTACCCACATTCTGCTCATGTCACTCAAGTCAGCCTTGTTCCTCATCGAGTCCTTTATCACCTGAACACACACAGAGACAGAAAGAAAATTTAAACAAGGCTGAAGCCACAAGCCAAACATTCAGAATCTTGCTGATACAACAGAGAGAGCACTACACATGAAGTTGTGCTGTATGCATTGTGTGGGTGTGTTCAAGAAGGCCAGTGTGTGGGCAATTGCCTGGGTGCTCAGAAGTGAATGAATGTGTATGGGGGTGTGTGAACAGCACTATGCTGATCATTTAAATGATGCTAGTCCTTGGAGGTTGTAGCTACTGTGGCTAAACTGGTGGTGGTCATCTCACTGTACAGTATTCTGAATAAGTGCAAATCTCAAATGATATTCCCTATGGGCCAGTTTCTTGGACACAGATTAAGCCTAGTCCTGGACTAAACAGCATGGTCAATGGAGAATCTCCATTTAAAATCAGTTCTCTTTGTCCAGGATTAAACTTAATCTGTTTCCGGGAAACCGCCCCTATATTTAGTTGACCTAAAACCTTATTTTACCAGGTAAATTAACTGAAAACACATTCTCATTTACAGCAGTGACCTGGGAAAGAGTTGCAGGGGAGAGGAGTTGAAATTAGCCAATTGGAAGCTCGGGATGAGGAGGGCCAGATTAGGAATTAAGACAGGGCGACCAGGGTTAACACCCCTAGTCTTGGGATAAGTGTTGTGGGATCTTAGTGATCTTAGTGATCACAGAGCATCAGAATCTCAGTTTTACTTCCAGCAGGATCTGGTCTCCCATTCAAGGACCAACCCTGGCCCTACCCTGCTTAGCTTCAAACCAAATCCAGCAGAGTAATATACAGGGAATATTGTATCATTTCAGACCTCTTGAGCACAAGTCTATGGAGAGATGGGCATGTCCCTGGCGTGCAGTATGTTCAGGGTTGTGTTCATTAGGCACCAAACAAAAGAAAACGGAGTGAAACAGGGAGGAACTAACGAGTCTTGTCCAATAACAAGTTTTCTATTGCATGCCTTAAAAAGGTATGCGTTCCATCAGGGCTGTGTTGGTGGGTTCAGACTTACATTGGGATGGCCGTCTCGCAGAAGCTTGTGGAAGACGTGGCAGAACTTCCAGCAGAGCACCGCATTGCTGGAGAGCGGCAGCCGGTTGACCGCCGCCCAGAAGGTGTGGGCGCCCTTCTCATGGTGGGTCCCCAGGATACAGGGTGAGACGGATCAGTCAAGGAGAAACACACAGGAGATGGCAGAGAGAGCACACACTCTGACGAAGGCTGCTGGGGGGGGGGGTTAATATAGAGAGGTGTTTTGCTTGCCTATTCAACTTTCATTGTTCTCTCAAGAGGGGCTAAAAATCTCCCACATATCTCTGATCATATCTCACAGAAAGACCGTACAGAGCAGTCTGTCTCTCGGTCCCTTTCTCGCTCTCACACACACACACACAAATTAATGGCCTGGTCCCGGCAGACATCAGGGTCACGTTACATTATTGTTTTTGTTTTGCACGAACATAACCCTGAGTCATGAAGGAACAATTAAGAGCTTCCACAAACACATGGGCGTCAACATTAACACAGCTCTCCTTCCTCTATAGTCAGAGAAAAACAGATGCTATCCAACACACACACACACACGCTCCCACTACGCACACACACACACTGCGCAACTAACACAGACACTGCACACACAGCGCCACACACACACAGCGACACACCCGGCTCCACAAAGAGGATATTCCTGGCATGCTTCTCTTTGACAACGACCTCCTGCGTGTTGATGGCCTTGTTGATGCTCACAGCCTGTGCAGAGGAGGAAGTGGAGGAGAGGGAGAGAGGAAAGAGACAGAAAACACCAATCAGTGCAATCAGTGTAAGGGTAGGTAACAACACATCTGCCACACTGATCCTCAACACGGGGGCCCCTCAGGGGTGCGTGCTCAGTCCCCTCCTGTACTCTCTGTTCACCCATGACTGCATGGCCAGGCACGACTCCAACACCATCATTAAGTTTGCCGACGACACAACAGTGGTAGGCCTGATCACCGACAACGATGAGACAGCCTATAGGGAGGAGGTCAGAGATCTGGCCGTGTGGTGCCAGGACAACAACCTCTCCCTCAACGTGACCAAGACAAAGGAGATGATTGTGGACTACAGGAAAAAAAAAGAGGACTGAGCACGCCCCCATTCTCATCGACGGGGCTGTAGTGGAACAGGTTGAGAGCTTCAAGTTCCTTGGTGTCCACATCACCAACGAACTATCATGGTCCAAACACACCAAGACAGTCGTGAAGAGGGCACGACAAAGCCTATTCCCCCTCAGGAGACTAAAAAGATTTGGCATGGGTCCTCAGATCCTCAAAAAATTCTACAGCTGCACCATCGAGAGCATCCTGACTGGTTGCATCACCGCCTGGTATGGCAACTGCTTGGCCTCTGACCGCAAGGCACTACAGAGGGTAGTGCGTACGGCCCAGTACATCACTGGGGCAAAGCTCCCTGCCATCCAGGACCTCTATACCAGGCGGTGTCAGAGGAAGGCCCTCAAAATTGTCAAAGACTCCAGCCACCCTAGTCATAGACTGTTCTCTCTGCTACCGCACGGCAAGCGGTACCGGAGTGCCAAGTCTAGGTCCAAAAGACTTCTCAACAGCTTCTACCCCCAAGCCATAAGACTCCTGAACAGCTAATCATGGCTACCCGGACTATTTGCACTGCCCCCCCACCCCATCCTTTTTACGCTGCTGCTACTCTGTTAAGTATTTATGCATAGTCACTTTAACTCTACCCACATGTACATATTACCTCAACTACCTCAACTAGCCGGTGCCCCCGCACATTGACTATGCAACGGTACCCCCCTGTATATATAGCCTCCCTACTGTCACTTTATTTTACTGTATATATAGCCTCCCTACTGTCACTTTATTTTACTTCTGCTCTTTTTTTCTCTCAACACTTTTTTGTTGTTGTTTTATTCTTACTTTTTTGTTTAAAATAAATGCACTGTTGGTTAAGGGCTGTAAGTAAGCATTTCACTGTAATGTCTGCACCTGTTGTATTCGGCGCATGTGACCAATAAAATTTGATTTGATTTGATTTGCTTTTCACTTGTCACTCGGGGAACACACCACACACACACAGAATTCTTTATTTGGAGTATCCCTTTCAGGCCTATTTGATCTCGGCCTCCATCTGAGAGAAAAAGCAGCCCCTCTATGCACCTCCACCTCCTCCCCTTCTCTGATCCTTTAAAAAAATCAGGGATGGGCAACTTTGATGGGGGGGGGGGTTACAAATAATCTGAACCTATGAGGGGCCGCAGTGACTCGCAGGTCTGCATACCCACGTCCATACCCACACATGCAGTCAGAGCCGGCCCTAGCCTTTTGGGGACCCTTAGCTAAACTTGGGGCCCCCCACTGTGATTTTTTTTTTTGTGGCCCCCCACAGCAGAGAGAACGTTTTTGAGTAAAATTCTTACAATTCTACACATTCTGCCAAGGGGCGAAGAGAAAATGTTGCAGTTTTAAAGCAAGTTTGATGCCATTCTACACATTTTGCCATGGGGCGGAGAGAAATGTTTGCAGTTTTTAAGCTTATTTCCTGCAATTCTACAAAATGTGCCATGACTTATGTCATGTTAATATGATATCTGAGTGAGAGTGGCTTACAAAATCAATGGGGGCCACCCCGGTCCATAATTACTACAAGTTTAGATTGCTGGCTAGAGTAACTTACCAATCAAAATGTTTTGTGCTGACATGGGCTAATTGAGTGACTGTCAGTGACTGACATAACAAGAGAAAAACTTCTGATGCACATCCACATTTTGAAATGGCACCTTGTGTATTCTACTATTCTAACTCTCAACAGTAAGTTGAGACCTCGACTGAGTTCCTAATTATTTTCTTTTTTAGAAATTGATCTCTGGGCCTACAAACGGGGTTGGGCCGCCAGTTGCCCATCTCTGCTTTAAATTAATAGCTGGGTCACATTTAGCATGTTCTCCGACAAAGAACAGTGATATGGAGGTCTGAAGTGGAGTGGCTGGGGGGGGGTCATGAAAGGACAGGCCAGGTTGAATAATGTCCTGAGTCCTCTCTGGGATGGGAAGCAGAGGATGATAAATCATCACAGGTCCATTTCACTGGTGGTTCACTGGGAGCGCAGGCAGTGTGTTGGTTTCACACAAAGGAATAACTTGCTGGCCATGGCATTCAGAGGAATAGCCTAGGAGTAGTACACTCCACAGTCATGCTTGGTTGGAGTAAAGTGCACACCAGAAGTGTACGATGAGGAAGTCACAAGTCGAACCCCCAAAATGTATATTCTGAGTGATCATTTGGACACCTTGTTCATTTGGACATGTAGATTGTTTCTATAATGATCAAATCAACAAAACGGTATACTCACTAGGGGTGCAAGAGTCATCACAAGAGTAGACAAAATAGCCTATGTTTATTTCTGTATTTTTCTCTCAGCCTCATTACAAATGGCATATTCACAGCTCAAGGTGACAAAGAAGGGCTTTGTATTGACAAGATCGATTCACAGGGTGACTGTCTAATTAGGTCACAGCTGTGCCTTCTGAAGAGGAGGAGGAGGACAAGGAGGAAGAGAGGAATGCGGAGCTGGCCAACATCTCTCAACACACACTGCTCCGTGGTTCAAATTCCACTCCATCCATGTCTCTGTGCTTAGCTTGTAGCCCTGCAGAGGATGAACCACAAACCATGCTCAGATCTACTAGCCATGCCTTCTATCATTAAACATACATGCAGGGTTGATATGGTCACTGGTGCTACATGTTGTTACATAATCAAGCACAAGCCAAGAGATGTGTGTGTGTGTGTGTGTGTATGCCATCATGTCAACACTGCACACAGAGCCATATATCTGTCCAAAGTCTCCTATGGTTGGACAAAGGACAACATCTCATATCTGGATTCCACTTGGATAGAAATACTGCAAATACAGTCGAACACATTCAGCATCTTCTTTACTGAACAAAAATATAAACGCAACATGCAGCAACAATTTCAAAGATTTTACTGAGTTACAGTTCATATAAGGAAATCGGTCAATTGAAATAAGTAAATTAGGCCCTAATCTATGGATTTCACATAACTGGTAATACAGATATGCATCTGTTGGTCACAGATATCTTTTTTTAAAGCTAGGGGCGTGGATCAGAAAACCAGTCAGTATCTGGTGTGACCACCATTTATTTGCATCATGCAGAGCGACATCTCCTTTGCATAGAGTTGATCAGGCTGTTGATTGTGGCCTGTGGAATGTTGACCCATTCCTCTTAAAATAGCTGTGCGAAGTTGCTGGATATTGGCGGGAACTGGAACACGCTGTCGTACATGTCGATCCAGAGCATCCCAAACATGCTCAATGGGTGACATGTCTGGTGAGTATGCAGGCCATGGAAGAACTGATATATTTTCAACTTCCAGGGATTGTGTACAGATCCTTGCGACATGGGGCCGTGCATTATGCTGAAACATGGGGTGATGGCGGCAGATGAATGGCACGACAATGGGCCTCAGGATCTCGTCACGGTATCTCTATGCATTCAAATTTCCATTGATAAAATGCAAATTGTGTTCGTAGCCTACAGTGAGGGAAAAAAGTATTTGATCCCCTGCTGATTTTGTACGTTTGCCCACTGACAAAGAAATGATCAGTCCATAATTTTTAAATGGTAGGTTTATTTGAACAGTGAGACAGAATAACAAAACAAAAATCCAGAAAAACACATGTCAAAAATGCTATAAATTGATTTGCATTTTAAATGAGGGAAATAAGTATTTGAACCCCTCTCAATCAGAAAGATTTCTGCTAAGGGGACAGGACAACTTCACCGCATCAAAGGGACGATGGACGGGGCCATGTACCGTCAAATCTTGGGTGAGAACCTCCTTCCCTCAGCCAGAGCATTGAAAATGGGTCGTGGATGGGTATTCCAGCATGACAATGACCCAAAACACACGGCCAAGGCAACAAAGGAGTGGCTCAAGACGAAGCACATTAAGGTCCTGGAGTGACCTAGCCAGTCTCCAGACCTTAATCCCATAGAAAATCTGTGGAGGGAGCTGAAGGTTCGAGTTGACAAACGTCAGCCTCGAAACCTTAATGACTTGGAGAAGATCTGCAAAGAGGAGTGGGACAAAATCCCTCCTGAGATGTGTGCAAACCTGGTGGCCAACTACAAGAAACGTCTGACCTCTGTGATTGCCAACAAGGGTTTTGCCACCAAGTACTAAGTCATGTTTTGCAGTGGGGTCAAATACTTATTTCCCTCATTAAAATGCAAATCAATCTATAACATTTTTGACATGCGTTTTCTGGATTTTTATGTTGTTATTCTGTCTCTCACTGTTCAAATAAACCTACCATTAAAACGTACAAAATCAGCAGGGGATCAATTACTTTTTTCCCCTCACTGTATGCCTGCCCATACCATAACCCCAAGGCCACCATGGAGCACTCTGTTCACAATGTTGACATCAGCAAACCGCTTGCCCACACAACGCCATACACATGGTCTGCGGTTGTGAGGCCGGTTGGACATACTGTCAAATTCTCTAAAACGACGTTGGAGGCGGCTTATGGTAGAGACATTAATGAACATTCAATTCTCTGGCAACAGCTCTCGCGGACATTCCAACAGTCAGCATGCCAACTGTGTTGTGTGACAAAACTGCACGTTTTAGAGTGGCCTTTTATTGTCCCCAGCACGAGGTGCAGCTGTGTAATGATCATGCTGTTTAATCAGCTTCTTGATATGCCACACCTGTCAGGTGGATGGATTATCTTGGCAAAGGAGAAATGCTCACTAACAGGGATGTAAACAAATGTGGAAAAAAATTGAGAGAAATACAATTTTTGAGCATATGGAACATTTCTGGGATCTTTTACTTCAGCACATGAAACATGGGACCAACACTTTACATGTTGCGTTTATATTTTTGTTCTGTGTAAAAATAGTGTCTACTCTTACATTTCAGTTAAAACCCCACATAATTTCTTCCCTTCATTTTTTTTCTTCTTCTAAAAACCAAGGAACGATGGAAGGCTCCCAGCACTTGTGCAAGCGGTTCCCACACAGGAACGGCCCAATTAGTCCACAGAGCGACTTTGTCATCCGTCTGAAAGAGAGTGCCAGCTGCCCAGGACTCCTGGCAAGCCAATGGGACTAGAAGCTGGAGCGGCTCGCTGGCATCGACAGGCCTATTAACTCATCCCATCGCAGCATGGGCAGCCGATGAAGTGAGATGGTGACTGCTATCAAATTAAATTAGGAGGTGAGAAACAGACGGTGGTGGTGGGTGTGTTGGGGTTGGGGTAGGTTAGACAGAGGATGAGGCTTGCCTCACAGACAGACTAGTCTGGACTGGGACCCCTATGTCATGCACAGAGAACTCTAGAGGCCTCTCTCGTCGCCATTGATATGCTAGTCCTCGCCTGGCTGTGTGGCAGTGGCACTGTCAAGAAACAAACCCTAACGGCCTACACACTTGTTGATCTTAAAGGATAGGTGCAAGCAATATGGGGAAAACTCCACCCAGCCTATCAGAAGGCAAGGTGAAGGAATTACCATACTGCTTAAACCTATCAGATCCTTTGAGATCTACAGGAGTGCCAAGGCCTTAGGGGTGGATTTTGGATTCAGCATGAGCCTGTTTTGTCTAGTACTGCACAGGACCCAGCCGGTGCCTTAAAAGCCGCCCAGTCAGTGCCCGTTTAATAATGCAGTGATCTCTCATTGATGAGTCATTTCCCCAAAGAAAGCATTTGAATAATGGTTGACTGCTTGACATGAACATGACTAACATCCAATGGCATAATGGGGAAAAAATTGTATTCCAAGCTTTTCCTGCAGACATATCGGTACTAGGACACTAGATGATTATGACGACAACGCAGTATATTTATATCACTGCTCTAGGAAACTTGTTGAACAGCAGAATAAACTTAATGATGGTCCAAAAACATCTGCATTTAGAGATAGCACCCTCTACTCCTGTGCAACAAAAAGTCTGATCGATTGAATCAATCAAATAACGTAATCAATCCAATCAAAATAATAGTCTAAATAATGAAACCTGGGTTCTCAAGAGTTTGGGGAGCTGCCATCCTTACATGACCTACATGGCTGACAGGGAAGAAGAGTGCTTTTCCGGTGGTGGTCTTGATAGTGTTTTAGATTATCTGCTGTTCACGCAGTGCTGAAACCAAACCAAAACACAAGCAGGGGCCAAGCAGCACACACTATTCCCTGTTCCCACAGCACAGTGCTTTTATCAGGCACCATGGACTGGAGGTGCATGGTGGGCTGCTGCGGTGGTACTGCTAAGTCTTGCCCACCACCTCAAGAGGAATGGGTAAACAGGGAAGGGTGGAGGGAGGGAATGAAAACAGGAAACATGGATCGCTGCCTGTGAATGCGTCGGCACTGTACACGGAGGTGCTGTGGTGCGGAGAGGGTCAGTGGGTCTGGGGGGTGGTAGAGAGCAGGGGGAGAGGGGCACTCAGTCAGGCTTGCTGTCTTGGCACACCCTGTCCTGACCATTTCTTGCCTGACGAAAAATGTACCCAGCTCCTCCCCTCTTCCTCCACCTCCTCCTCAGGCCTAGTACCCTGTGCCAACCCAAACAGACCTCACAGCTCCCCTTTCCAGCTCCCCTTTTATAATGTTTCCTTTGCCAGCCTCTTCCAGGTGGCCCCAAAGGTCAACTGGACATACTTTAAAACTTTTACCCCCCTACCTGAGGACACACAAGCACACACAATTTGTAGCTGTTTGACACTAATAGTGCTCTCCTGCTGACAAGGATTGCTTTAGATGGACATTTTGAAATAACAAAAAAGACCTACTAGCCATCTACTGAAAGGTTACTCACTTCACATTACGTCACACTAGACAAGACTGTGAAATAACAGTCATCCTACTATGCACTTAAAAACACACACCTTTTTTGGAAGCAAATTTGAAAACTGAAAACCAAGCATATTATTAATTTCCCTCAAAGCAACAAGCTGTAAAAGCTATAGAGAGTAAAAGCGAGAGGGTTTAGGTTATATTATTTCTTCAGGTTGGAACTCCACCCCTTTTAAAATGTCAGTACACTAAAAAGGGCCCTCTGTGTTACTTGTTTCGATAAAGGACCGTTTTACAAATTTGCTCACATCGATATCCGCTCCCATGGAACACTCACTCTACACCTCTTTAAGAGCCTGGCACGGTGGGGAAAGGAAACATAAAAGACAATCCCTCCAGCATGGCCACTCTTCCTGTCTATGTGAACACACAGCCAACATGGATTAGACCAGGGTTGTGTTCATTATGGCACACCGTAGGAAAATGTTTTGCAACAGAAAATGAGTGTTCTTATTGGACAAGTTTAGGTAGTCCCTCCCCGTTTAAGTCAAGAGTTTTTCCTGGTCAGGTCATGTGCTCAGAAAAGAACTCTGGACCTTACTCAGGACCAAAGTATGACAAAATACTGTGAATATAAAGCTGTCCAGAATCAAACTGGTAGGCCTAAATATTTTTACACCGAATAGGTATATATATATATATATAACTACTGTATTGTCGCCCTACTTCTCATTGTCTCATGTCTATTACGA